GCAAATGTGGATCGAGATCCCCCAGAGATGCACAAGCCTCGGAGCGCGGGAGCCTTTTTGCAGCTCTGCTCTTGCAGAATATGACTGAAATTTTCTGCTATATAGCCTCTGTCTTTATAGCTGATGAAAAAAATTGCAGATTATTAGCATAAATGTTTACTCTTCATTACGCTGATGACATTGTGCACTCGAGATCTTGGTAATCTTTGGGAAAATTATGAGTAATTTTTAAAAATTTTAAAGCAGCAGCAGTTACCATGCAATTCAGGCTAATTCTGCGTAGGCTCCGAACGGATATAATTATCGAGGAGTCAAGATGTTATGCTAAAAACTATGCATTGATATTCCCATTTATTATGTACATACAACTTTGACAATGTTGATGCTTGAAATAGCAGGAAATTGTCTTGCGCAAAAATTACAGTCCATATTAGGACATGTGAAATTGCGAAGAATTATATAGTAATTGCAGGCTTTCAGATGGGAGAGCCAGAATGCTCAAACTAGTGCAAATGTGGATAAAATTACAGATCAGAGCAAAAATTAGGGAAAAAGGGGGTCTGGGATTTTTCAAGTTGGCTATAGGATTCCGGAAGTGTCTAATGCCACATGATTGCTACAGCTTTAGGGGAGACATTCATGCCTCAAATAACTCTTTTTGCCAGAGCCGCTTTAATTGAATTTCTCGGGCTTTTTTTCTTTTCACCGGGGCAAATGAGTAAATTGCCGACCCGCGGCACCAGCCCGGCCAGCCCCGCCCGTGCGCCGAGGGGGCGGACGGGACCCCTCGCCCGGCGGCTGCCGGCCGGGCCCCCCCGCGCTCGCTTCCCCTGGGCTGCCCCCCCGGGGCGGGTCGCCCTCCTCCCCTTTCCCCCCGTCCCAAACCTCACCCCGACGGGGCGAACGGGGCAGAATTGACCAGGATCCTGCAGCCCGGAACCATGCAGGGCTGGGGAGCCTCTCGCCCCCAGGGGACTCGGCGCAGAGGGCCACCTCGGGCCATCCTCCGCCTCGGGGCAGCTCCTCGTCGGGCTCTCGAGCCCCGGGAGCCGCCACCGCCACAGCGGAGTGCGCCGGGAGCGCCGGGAGGGGGTGACTGTTTGTTGACAGTGGGGCTGCCCCGGCCGGCGAGAAAAGACTAAAACGGGCAGCGAGGAGCTCCCGCCGGTGTGTTTGCATGGAGATATAGGGGTACCCCTGCGTATGTGAGGGCGTGGAGCGCGCCCGGCCCCCCTCGACGGCGTGCGCTGCATGTGAAGCCCGCGGGAGCGGCGGGGAGGAACAGCCGCAGTGCGGGGGGCCCCGCGGCTCGGGAAGGGGTGCCGCGGTAACGCACTGCCCGCCAGCCCCGCACGGCCCCGGCTGGCGGAGCCCCGCGCCCGCGGGGCAGCGCTGCGGGAAGGGTAACGCGGCGCGAACGGGGGCAGAGGGAGCTCCGAGCGCTCCCCGTCCTGGCGCCGCGGCTGCTAGAGGCGAAACGCGGAGCTGCCGGGACAGCGGCTGGAAAAAAGACGAGAGGGGGAAGGGAGGGCCGGGTGCGCGACCCCAGCCCGCGCCCACGGGCTCCGCTTGCAGCTCGGCCCAGCGGTTTCCCTGCGCTCTTCCCGGGACCGCCCCGCGCGAACCGCCGCGAGTGGGGGGCCCGTCGCCAGCACCACGCGAGTCCCGCCCCACGCGTGTGCCTGGTGGAAGCGGTAGCCTGGGCCGCAGTGCCCCCCTTTGTCTCCCCCACTGCCCCTTGCTCCTCCTCTGCCGCCGCCTCGCTCGCTCTCGTCCCTCTTTCCTTTCCTTCCTTTCCCGCACTCCTCCTTCGCCTTCAGCAAYAGCAACGGGCACCGCTCTCCGTAGGGTCGCTCCGCGCTGTCTCACGCTGCGCGCTGTCGGGGACCCACGTCCCGAGGGGGTCACCCGGGCTGAGTGCAGCCCAAGGATGCAACGCACCCCCCTTGTCGGGGCAAGGGGGTGGCTCAGAGTGGTCCCGAGCGTGGGGAACCTCCCCGAGTGAGGAGAACGACCCCCTGGCCGTTTGCTTTCCGTGTGGGGTGCAGCTGACCCCGCGGGTGGGAAGTGCCCCAGGGCAGGGACCTGCCGCAAAGTCCTGGTGCCCACCTGGGTGGTAGGCAGCAGTGTGTAAGCGTGTGTGTGTTATATGTATGTGCATATGTGTGTATGTATACGGGTGTGCGAGAGCGCCGAGCCGGCAGGAGACAGTCCCGGACTAAACGCGGCTGGCGCCGGCAGCGGGCCGGGCGGGTCGGTCATTCAGGSCCTCGCCGCGACTGGCGGGGCCTTTGATCGCAGACGGGGAGGGAGCGGGGGAGTCTCGCCCCACAGCCGAGATGCAGAGGGGAGAAGGGATCAAAATGCAGCTCCCTCCGTGTCCCCCCTTCCTTCCTGCTTTCGGAACCTATGTGCCCCGGTCCCCAAAGAAAGTCAGCGCGGGCACCATGGAAACAATAATTTATTTAAATAATCTCTGCTTATTGTAAAAGAAACATTAAAGAGTGTTTAAGCTTTCCATAATAAATAACCCCGAATACCCTTTTTTGTTTCGTTTGCTCTCACGGCTCTCGACACCTCGGTGTGCAGGGCAGGATCAGCAGCTCCAGTCGCGGACGGTCGCGCAGCGGGGCGCAGGGGCCGCGCAACCCGCGGCACCGACCGCGGCCGCAGCCGCCCCCGCGGAGACGCCGGGACTGGCGGTTCCCTCCGCGGTCGCCCCTCTCGCGGGGCACCGCCGGGCACGGCTGGAAAGGATAACTTAAACACGGGATCTTCTCGTCTTTAATCTACATATAAAAATTATTTTCCTTTTTTTTTATCATTTTATTTTTTTAACCCCAACATCAAAATGAGGTCATCCGCAAAGGCACCTATCGACTTTAAAAAAATAAAAAATAAAATTAACCGAAGTTCCGCACCGGGGATCTGACGAGGGGGACGGGGAGGGAGGCGCGGAGCTCGCCTGGCCGCCAGCGCCCGCGGAGGCGCCGGGGCGGCGCGGAGCTCGGCGCCCGCAGCGCGGCCACGAACCCTCCCGCGCTGCACGTCGGGGCCGCGGGCGCGCAGCCCCCGCGGGCTCCAGTCTCTGCGGCGCCTAGAAGAGGCCGCCGCCGCCGCCATGGGGGTGCGGGGGCTGCGGGAGAGGGGCGGCCGCCGTCGGGTACCACGAGTAGTTGCCGAGGAAGGCGGCGGCGGCGCCGGGGCTGGCGGTGCCCGCGCCGCCCGCCGTGCGCGGGTGCGGAGCGAAGTCCCAGGCGGGGGGCGAGGCGGGGGGCGGCGAGGCGCTGCGGCGCGGCGCGGGCTCCGCGGGCATTTCACCGCTCTTCCACATCTTCTTGAACTTGGAGCGGCGGTTCTGGAACCAGATCTTCACCTGCCGGCAGCAGCGCCGTCAGGGCGGCGAGCCCGGGGGGGCGGCCGGCGCCTCCCGCCCTGCCCCCTCCCCGGCAGCGGGGCCCGGCCCCTCCCGCGGGCGGCCCCGGGGGGCGGGCGGGCGCCGAGCCCTACCTGTGTCTGCGTGAGGCCCAGGGACGCGGCCAGCTCCGCGCGCTCGGGCAGCGCCAGGTACTGCGTCTTCTGGAAGCGCCGCTGCAGCGCGGCGAGCTGGAAGCTCGAGTAGATGGTGCGGGGCTTGCGCACCTTCTTGGGCTTCCCGTTCACCATGCGGATCTCGGGCTCGCAGTCTTCCTTCTCTGCTGCGGCAGGAACCGCRCTCGCGGTGAGCAGCGCGCCCGTCCCGTCAGGGCCGCCGTCACAGCCCCCCCTCCACTCCCCCCCGACGTACCAGGGTCGTTGTTGGCTGGGGAGGCCCTGGAGCCGTAGGGCCCATACGAGCCGTACGCGCCCGCGTAGCCCACGTCGTAGCCGGCCTTGGCGGAGTAGGGGGCGGCGCCGCCGCCCGCGTAGGGGTAGGAGCCCACGGGGCCGTAGGGCGGCGCGGYGGCCGCGCCGTGCTGCTGGTTCGTGTAGTAGCTGCTGTCGGTGGCGGTGGACACGGGCAGCGTGGGCGACTCCTGCGGCTTGTGCAGGCCGCCGTGCGGCTGGTAGGTGCCCGCGGAGATGTGCGCAGCGTGCATGTCCGGCGCCAGGCTCTCCAGCACGCCGGTCATGCCGCCGCCGCGGCCCCGCGGCCGCCCCCACGGGGCAGCCCCG